CCGCCGCCTTCCGAGCCTGGCGGGGCCGAGTCGCGGGCAGCGCCCCCGCCAACTCCCCAGGGTGCAGAGCGCCGAGGCCCCCAAGGGCCGCGCCCCACCCTAGGCCCCTCAGCCTGGCGCCAAGGGGGGCCGAGAACAGCAAGCGCCACGCCCAGGCCACCCGCGAGCGGGAAGAGAGGCCCGAGCGCCCCGAGTGGCCACCTCCGCCCAGGCTCCTCAGCTCACGGGCCCGCCGCGCCAAGGAGGGCAAAGGCGCACCCGAGAGACCAACAGATCATTGAACAAGCACAACACCACAGATCCTTGCCCGACAAAGGGGGCCTGGCCTCGCAAGATGCGGCTGATCCGCAACGGACGTTCGCGCCTGGAGGGCAAACGCGCGACAGAGAGACCATTTAGATCATTGAACGAGCACAACGGCCTCACCTCAGATCTTTGCCCGTCTTTGGGTCCTGGCCTCGCCTTATGCGGAGGGTCCGCCTCTGACGTTGACGATCCCCAGGATCCTCGGGGTCAGGCCGCCTGCAAGGGCCGCCGATGGCCCTGGTCGCCGAGCCGTAGTGCGACCCACGCACGACGCACACCACGAACGTGCCGACGATCTCGACGGCGTGTGGCCGCGGCTCCGCTGAGGCCGCCCGTGGCTCCACAGGTGCAGGCTGCCCGCGGCAGGCAAGCTGGGCGGAGGGCGCCGGCCCGCGCGCCCCGCGCTCAGGCGGGGGGGGCGCCGCAGCCGCCGCTGCCGCAGACTGGGCCCCCGCCGTAGCCGTCGCACCGCCCAGGTCCAGGGAGCAAGCGAGCTTGTCCTCATCACCGCGAGCGCCGACGCGCTGAGCATGGTGGGCCGACTGGGCAGCGCTGTGGGTCCGCGCACGAACTTCCCGCCCCGCCCCTCTCGCTGTTGCCCCCACCTCCTGTGGTGGGGGTGCCCTGGAGGCTAGGTCGGGGTTGTGCGCCGACGTGCGCCTTGACTGCGCCGAGCCCGACGCTGAGGGAGGTGAAGGCCGCTGTTGCTGGGACAAGGCCTCCCGCGCGCCCTCTGCGACGTACACCCTGTCACTGCGCCCGCTGGGGACCGCGCGCTCGCCGCCATCGTCGTAGCCGCGGGCGCACTCCTGGGCTTGACCAGCCACATCTCCACCTTGATCGTCGGAACCCGAGGAGAGCGGCTCGGAGCCCCACTGATGCCACGGGGCTGTTTCGGGTGGAGCGCGGTCTCCCAGCAAGCTCCTGAAGCGCACCCTGATCTGGTGCAACACGTCGAAGTGATGCCGTGGGGGCCGTCGTCTCTGTCTGCCGGTCAAGACCGAGTCGGACCTCATCCTGGCCAACTGTGCCTGTCTAGCTGGCTCCGCCCTCGTCCATGACGTGGCGGCACACAGGTCGTCGACGATCTGCCGCAGCGTGCGCCCAGGGTTGCTCCCGAGGAGGTGCTCTCGGACGTGTGACCAGGCTTCGGCGCCCAGGAACACTTCCAGGTACTCGGAGCACCACGTGCGGTAGCCCCACTCATTGGTGTAGTCGCCCAGGTCGAACCTGTCGATCCAGAAAGAGGCCCGCGCCACCACGTCGTCAATGACCGACCTCACGTGGCGCTGTTCTGAGGTGAGCTCGGGGGGCCGTGCACCCATGCACCCAGGTCCATCCGGCAGGGCCTCCATCCTGCGCGAGGCTGCCCTGGCCGCTGCCACTGGCGCCCAAAGTGGGTCCTGAGCAGGCAGCCCCTGCGGGGGGGGGCTGGTCTGGTACCCGCAGCTCCTCGGCCTGGCCCTCATGGTCCGCACGCTGGCGCACGGCGCGGCCAGTGGCGCCAGCTGCCACTAGCAGGGGAACAGCCACACTTCCCCCCTTGACGGCGCTCTTGGCGTTCTGACCCTGGAGCCCTTGGGGTGGGCCACGGCCTTCTTGCAGCTGAAAGGCCGCGAGACGGGCGCCTGCCACCTTGCCGTAGTTGACGCACTTGTGGCACCCCAGCCAAGCTCCCAAGACGTGCGGCTGCCTGGGCGCCGTCTTGGGGCTGGCTGCCCAGGGCGCGTTGGCGCTCGGCTGCTGAGGGCGAGGCTCGTCCCGCTTGGCCTTTCTGAAAAGACCCATGTACTCCAGCCTGCACTTGTTGGCCTTGAGTTCCTGCTTGAGCTGCGCCAGGGCCCAGTCTGGCGGCGCGCTGAGATCCGCCCCAGCCTTGGCCCAGACGTCTGCGAGGTCGCTGTGGATGATGATTGTCGCGACGACGGTCGCGTGCCTGAGGAAGCGGAGCAGCCCCCGCAAACCTGCCATCACCGAGCTCGGGTCGGGGCAAGGTTGAGGGCCGAGGAGGCCCTGCTCCCCTTCGTGGGCGTCCGACTTGCACTGTAGCGGCGGCCAGCCACCGTGGCTGAGGTCGCCCAGGCCCGCAACTCAGCCTTCCGAGACCATCGCGCCGTTGAGCTCGGAGTTGTCGCCCTCGGCGACCCAGTAAACGTACTGCTCGGGGAGGGCCCACGCCAGGCCGTAACAGGGGGTCCGTCGCGGACCTCCCTCCCCCAGGCGCCTCGCCGCCTCGGACGAGGGGGCGATGGCCTCCAGGCGGCAGGCAATCCGACAGGTGGGAGCGGGAGCCGCGCCGTGCAGTGAGAGCTGGTCCCGCACTGAGGCGCAGGTCGGGCTGCTGCTGCACTGCCAGCAGCCGAGCTGCATGGTGCCGAACTGGGTGGATTCGTCGCAGAGCTGGCCGCATGGCCGCACAGGGGCTGAATGGCCCACGGCTGTGACGCTGAAACCGTAGTCGATGCCAAGCCAACTCTCGGAAGTGCTGGGCGGCGCCCCAAGGACCGCCATGCCCAGCTGGGGGCCTGCTGGGGGGCAGGCCGCCTGCCAGAACGAGCGCTTGCCCCTGGCTCCGTCACGAGCCCTCGCGACCTCCAAACCCACGAGGGATTCCATCATCCAGGAAAACATCCGCGTGGCTCGCGGCAAAGTCGGCGGGGCACGCATCTCCGTAGACCTGATGGAGGTGAACTGCCAAGCCTCCCAGATTCTGCAAGGGCCATGCCATGGAATGATAAGTCGCCAAACGCCGTCGATCTTTCCACTGAACAGCGCGAGCATGAGGTGCGTCTGCGGCCACACCGAGCGCTCCAGATCGCGGACGGTCCAGAGAGCCTCCTGCCTCGTAGGTTGCAGACGCTGACCACGGTGAGGTTGGCCTGAATCGTCGTAGCCTGTTGCGCTTGTCGGTCGAGCCACCTCTCCTCCGCGGGCTGAGTGCGGTCCAGCTTGGCCGCCTCCCTCTCGTAGGCGGCCTCCTCGACTGCCTGCGCGTCCTCCAACGTCTGCCGTAGAAGTGGCCTGGTGTCGATGCTCCGCGAGCGATTCCCAGCATCTTCACACACCTCCCGAGCGGAACTCCTCCACTCTGCGGTGCGAGAGCCGCCGCCTGGGGCTGCTGCCAGGTCTACTCCAGGCAGCCCATCTGGAGGAAGGCGCAGGGGTCCGAGTTCCAGCCACGACTGCCCTGAGGGTAGGAGGCTCCCAGGCGCGGCACAGGGCGCCACTGCCTGATCCTGCACCGCGTGCGCGTGGCCAGGGTGCCCCACTCGCGCCAGCCCACGCGCCCCAACCGCGACGCTCTGGGCCAGGCCCCTGGCTCAACTCCTGGGCCCCACGGGGGGGGGCTCAAGCGGTGGCGTCTGCTGGGACGGGTGTGGCTTGGGCCCGCCCCCGCCTGAGCTGCTCCAACCTGGCTGGGCCATCGGGGCCGCGGAGGCTGGGTGGATCCGCAGGGCTAGCACCAGCAGCAACAGCATCGTCCCCAGGTGGCTGCTCAGGGGCTGCGTCCTGGCTGGGGGCGGCGGCGGCTGCCGCTGCTGCAGGCGGCTCGCCTTCTCCCGCGGCCGCGGCCTGGCCAGCTGCTGGTGCTGGGGCGGCTGGCTCTGGCGCTGCCGCTTCGGTGCGGGGGCGCTTGCGCCTGGCGAGGAGCAACTGATGCTTGGCGTCGATCTCGCTGCGCCTCTGCTCGAGCTGCGCCTTGGCGTCGCCGAAGGTGGCGCGGGCGTGCTGCTTGACCTGGTCGACGAAAACTTTGCAGCGACCTGCTGAACTCCTCGCGCTCGGCCTCTGTGATGTCCAAGTCGGGATCGTCGAACTTAAAGGCGCCCCCCGCTTCGACCTGGAAATCCTCCGCCAAGAGCGCCGAGACGTTGAGTCCGACGACTGGCCTGGGCTCGCCTCCTGGCTGCTGCTGCTCCGCCTGCGCCTGCGCCTGGATGCCCTTGGGCGCGGCGGCCTTGTAGGCATCCTCCACTTCCAGGTTGCGCGCCAGGAGTGCACCCCCCCCCCCCCCCCGCGCGCAGCTCCTATTCGCGGCGCGCCTGGGGCCATTGCTCGGCGTCGCGGACCTGCTGTGTCTTGGCCGCGAAGGTAGCCTGGGCCCTCCGCTGCTTGGCCTGCGCGCGGTTGAGGGCCGCGTCTGGCAGCGCCGTGGCCACAGCGGGCGGTGCGACGGCCAACTTGATGGCCTCCAGCTTCTGACACTGCTCGGGGCGCCGTGCCGCCAGCGCCGCGAGGCACTCGGCGTCGGAGGGAGGGCTGGCCACGGACGGCGTGTCGACGTACCAGGCATCGTGCGCCGCCCACGGCTTCCGCACGAAAGACCAAGCCCCAGGCCATGGCCGCGCAATTTCGTCCACGACGGCCGGCTTGAGCGCCTTCTTGCAGTGGAAGCACTCATCCGTGGACTTGAAGTTCCACTTGTACGCGCAGTGCACGCAGCGGACGTAGTCCCCAGGGTCTGATCGCGTGTGTGTGTGTGTGTGTGTGTGTGTGTGTGTGTGTGTGTGTGTGTGTGTGTGTGTGTGGGGGGTGGGTTGTTTTTGTGCGTGCGTGCGTGCGTGCGTGGTGCGTTGCGTGTGTGTGTGTGTGTGTGTGTGTTGTGTGTGTGCGTGTGCGGTGTGTGGTTGTGGGTGCGGGCGTGTGCGTGTGCGTGTGTGCGTGTGGCGTGTGCGTGTGTGCGTGTGTGGTGTGTGTGTGTGTGTGCGTGTGCGTCGTGTGCGTGTGCGTGTGCGCGTGCGCGTGTGCGTGCGCGTGCGCGCGCGCGCGTGTGAGTGTGTGTGTGTGTGTGTGTGTGTGTGTGTGTGTGTTGTGTGTGTGTGTGTGTGTGCGTGTGTGCGTGACACCCGGCCTTCAACGACAGGATCGTTTGCGACAGCTGGGCGCCTGTCGCTTTCCAGACCGAGGGGGGGGGGGGGGGGGGGCGTTGTTGCGGAGCTGACTGATCGAGGGCGCGGTGCAAGCGCCCGGCTAACGCGTCGCGGTCGCACCCGCCGCCCCCAGCCCCCCTAACCCGGCTGCTGCGGCACGGCAGCCGAGCGCCAGAACGCGCGCGATCGTGCGCGTGCACCCTACGCGCCCACGCGCATCCTGCCCGACGACGACCCTGCCGCCCCCGCGGGCAGCCGCGGCCTCTCCCGACTGGCAGCCGTGGCCGCCCGCCCGGCTCTGGCCCCGCCGCCCGGCTACCGGGCGGCGTATGGCACCTGTGCCCCCCCCCCCGCGGCTCCCGCGCCTCACCGCGCCACCGACGACCGCAACCTCAGGAGCGCCCGTGTTGCTCACATTGGACAAGCTTGTTCCAATACTCGCCAAATAACTGCTGGCAAATGGCCTGGAACCGCCGCGGGGGATCTACGATACAGCACATCGAGGACATATCTTGCTTCGGACGTTTGCGAACAATTCGGCGCTTTGCGACTAGTGGAACGCGCCCAGTGACACACTGCCGCAACGGTCCCTGCCCCCGCGGCCCCGTGGCCCAACGGCAGCGTTGCTGACCCCGCACCGCCGCCGGTCGGCCTCCTCCTCCGCCGGTCGGCCCCGCACCTCCGCGAACGTCCCTGGGAGCCTTTGCGTGGGCCCATCTTCCACCACCACTTTCATAGGCAGGACGGGGAGACGGGGGGATGTGGAGGCCCTCCTCCTCCTCCTCCTCCTCCTCCTCCTCCTCCTCCCTCCCCTGCCCATGGTAGTGGTGGTGGAAAATTGGCCCAGCACTGTTGGTCCGACTGGGGCTCCAACCCGCGCCCGAACGACGCTTGGATCGCCAGTGGCGCTGGGACTGGGCGGGCTGCCCCCAGGCCACACGAACAGGCGACCGCCCGCCCCCCCCCCCCTCCCAGATCATGCGTTACCGAAAATGTTCGGTCGCGACCGACGGTCTCGGTCGTTTCGTCGTTCCCGAAATTTTTCGGGAACGGTTACCGGGCGCGACCGGTCGCGACCGGTCGCGGAGATCGGTCGCGACCGGGCGCGACCGGTCGCGACCGACCGTTGCCGTCAGACCAAACAGGTCGATTTGTCAGATTCGTGTTTTGGCGTTTCGGGTTCAGGTGATCATCAGCATCGTCATCATTTCACGAGCATCACCATCATAATCAGCATCACCTTCATCATCCATCATGATCATGGTCATCATCATCACCACCACCCTAACAATCACAATCGTATTCGTCAACATCATCATCATCATCATCAAGAACATCGTCATCACAAAGTCTAGTACATAATTATAATAGTGCGGATGAGGAGGAGGGGGAGGAGGAGGGTAATAAGGTGGAGGAGGAGCAGGAGCAGGAGCAGGAAGAGGGGGAAGAGGAGGAGGATGGGGAGGAGGAGGAGTCACGGCAGGACGGGAGGGGCCTCGCGCGCTTGCTTGCCAACCTGGGAGGACGCGAGGGGCCGCGCGCGCTTGCATGCTTCCCTGGGGAGCAGCTGGGAGGAGTGATGGGGATGGGGATGGTGATGACGATGGTGATGGTGATGGTGATAATGATGATGATGTTGAAGATGATGATACGATGGTGATGATGATGTTGATGATGACGACGAGGACCGACGCTGTAGCGGCCCCAGGATGGTGATTGTGATGAGGAGGAGGTACAGGAGGAGGAGGAGGAGAAGGAGGAGGAGGAGGAGGAGGGTAAGGAGATGGAGGAGGAGCAGGAGGAGGAGGAGGAGGAGGATGGGGAGGAGTATGAGTCACGGGAGGACGGGAAGGGCCGCGCGCGCTTGCTCGCTTCCCTGGGGAACAGCTGGGAGGGAATGATGGGGATGATGATGACGATGGTGCTGATGATCATAATGATGATGATAATAATGATGACGATGGTGACGATGATGATGATGATGACGACGACGATGATGATGATGATGACGACGAGGACACCGAAGCTGTAGCGGCCGACGCTGTAGAGGCCATATGATGGTGATGGTGATGATGCTGATGATGAAAATGATGAACATTGCGATGAATCTTGCGATGTTGATGGTGATGTTGGATGGTGTTGATACGGGTGGATGATGACGATGGTTCTTGTCTGCCACCGTGGACTTCGCGATACGGGTGGATGGGATCACCATGCGATCACGATGATGATGACGATGCTGATGCCGACGGATATGACGACGATGCTGATGATGGTGATGGTGATGATGATGATGATGATGATGTTGATGCTGATAATGATGGTGATGGTGGTGATGATGTCTTCATCCTCCTCCTCCTCCTCCCCCTCTTCCTTCCCCTCCTCCTCCTCCTCCTCCCCCTCCTCCTCATCCCTCCTCCTCCTCCTCCTCTTCATCCTCCTTCTCCTCCTCCTCCTCCTCCTCCTTTTCTCCTCTTCCTCCTCCTCCTCACCAAAGCCATTTGGCTAGTCCAGATCTCGGGCCCTGTCGATCGGCCCTTTCGGACCCCTCGATGTCCTGTCTCGCCCCTCGTGTGTCTCCCAGGGCTTGCAAGTCCCAGCCCCTGCCCCGTCGCCCTTCGGTTCCCTTGAGTGGGGACCTGGGGCAGGGGCTGAAGGAGCACGCGGCGTCCGTCGGCTGTGCGAGAGCATTCGAACTAGGCCTTTACCACACCCTTACCAAAGATAAGGCCGCCCATGGACCGTCGCTGGCTAAGAACCCCGAGCTGGCGGGCGGGCTTACAACACCCATCCTCCTGCTGTTCCTCACCCCTCGTCCCCTCGCACCCCTCGCCCTCGCCCTCACCCCCTGCCATCACCTTCGCCCTCCTCCTCACCCCTGAAGTTCCGACCCCCCCTTCCCCTCCTCCTCCTCACCTTCGTCCTCCTCACCTCATGTTTACACTCTTCCTCATCCTCCTGCTCCTGCTCGTCCTCCTCCTTGTCGTCGTCACTTCCTAGTGATTTCATGCCCAGGTGGAGGTGCTGCTTCGGAACTCGCCCGAGGCCGAGCCGCCCTGGGCTCAGCTGCGCGACGCTTGCGTCGCGGTGCTGACCGAGTAACCCACGGAGGAGGAGTAGGAGGAGAGGCGGATGGGATGAGGAGGAGAA